TTTTGAATACCAAGAGGTTACTATAAAAAAAGAATTTATTATTTTATATAAAATATATATTATTTTTTTATCGCTTTTTAATGATTGACTACTATTAAAATTGATATGGAGAGTATAATTGAAACATATAGATTTTATACAATAACTTCTAATAATATATATTATGAATTGAATAAAAATAAAAAATAAACTAACATGATTCATGCAATATTTGTTATAAGTAAACTTGATTTTTTACATAAAATAAAAAATTTTATAGAACAAAATACATGTTTATTTATTTAAATTTATATAGAAATATAATGGGTTAACAGGTGAAAATATGTTCAATATAACTTACAAAAGCATATTAAATAGGTTAGCAAATTTTGTTGTCATATGAGTTGTAAAAATCTTAAAATTATATTAATTTAAATTCTATATTAATTAATTTTACTAAAATTGGATATCTTAGAATTTTAATTTTTGATGTCACTTAAAATCAATTTAATTTTTCTTTAATTAGTTTAATTAGTTAATTTATTCAAATAATTTAAATTTAATTGTTAAAATAAGATAAAAATTAATTAATTTTAATACTTAATTAATTTATAGTTTCCATATAATGATATTTAATTTTTATCATTGTATTACTTGAATTAAGTAGTGCTTTTGGTAACCAAAAAAATTAATTCATCATTTTGTAAGGAGATAGAAAAGAGAGGGAGAAAGGGAAAGGGATACTTTTTTTTTTTTTTTGAACATATTGAAATTATTTACATGTTAATTGGGAGAAGGAAAATGAAATTCCGTGGGACTTGACATGCAACTCACAAAAGGTGAACAACCCTAACGCAGGGTCTATGTCATTGGGCCGGAGTGCCCCATTCAGATACTTCTTCTTTTTTTTTTTTTTCTTTTTTTGAGGGAATTTGGAATTTATATAATATAAGAAACAAGTTATATCAAGTAGATAAGGCATCCCTAAGGAGCACAGAAAGCAGCAGATAAGGGGGCTGATGTGCCTAGTACCATGGGCATTGCCCTTTCAGTGAAGATTTAGCCACCCAATCTACTATTTTATTGCCTTCCCGTGAAACATAAGTGAAGAGAAAATTAGGATGGCCAATACATAGTTTTCTCATACTACAAATAACAGATTTTGCATCCCAGGAAAGTGGTTTTCTAGGTTGTTGTATACTTGAAATTAAAGCCTGATTGTCAGACTCAAAAATCACCTTATGAAATCCCCTGTTTATAACGTCCTGGACAGCTTTCAACAATGCTAGTCCCTCGGCCATAAGAGGAGATAAAGCCAAACAAAACCAGTTGTTGCCAAAATATATCTCACCATTCGAGTTGCGACCAACCATGGCTAAAGCAATAGATCCCATATTTGGAGAAAAAGAAGCATCTAGATTAACCTTAAGGAATCCTGGAGGTGGTTTGAGCCAAGAAGGTTGGTGCTGTTTGTCGACCACTTGGGGTCTAGGAGGGGGAACCAAAAGGTCTTTAGTTGTATGATCAGAATACTCTTGGATCGTGAGAAAAATTCGGGCAAGACTTGATGGGGTGAGATGCCAGCCTGTGTTATTCCTCATAAAAAATAAATAGAAAAGAAAATAGACAAAAGAATAGCAAAAAACAATTAATTAAAGATGAAGATGAAAAGTAGAAAGATATCACTGAAAGTATGAAGAGTTTGAACTAAGACGTAGATCAATCACTCTCTTTAGGATATTTCACGTCGCTGGTGCAACAGTTTTTTATGGTCACGTCACCTTCAGGATATAACAGCCCAACCTCCTTATTGTATCTTTACAAGTACTACACTCTTGTAAAGAAAGCTCTACCTCATCACCTTTTCCTTGCCCAAAAAGAGTTTGAATACTGTATTTGTAGAATAAGAATGCAGAATATGAAAATTGTATCAACCTTTTTGGTAGAAATGGAGGCTGCCTATTTATAGGCTTTTATAATGTAACCGGAAAATAAAGTGCGAGACTGTTATGAATTTAAAGTAAATATTGTCGGTTACAAGATTGAAAAAGTTGATAAGTAAATCATGCATCTCGCCGATTAGAAAAAATATAATAATAAAACAGCAGGTTATAATGTTAAAATATTTGAATTTGATTTAGAAACGCACAGATCCATTCTTAAAGCAGGAAGGCATGAATTTGTAACTGACACAAGATTGATTTTTTTGAAAACAATGAATTTGTAATCGGT